TGATTGGCCTGCTGTTTGCTAACTTACCACTACATGCAGTAGTTTGGGCAAATTCCTTCGAGGAGCCAAAGCTGGGAGACATCTCTTTGCAAAGTCCTACAAGTCAGTTGTGACACCCATCGCACGTGAGAGGGGGCAAAGGTTTGTTTCTAATACACCATAAATAGGATAGAAATGAAGGAGGGGCAGAGTATGGTACTCTTATCCCTTTAAGTACCTCTCACACTTGTAGACAGCATCTGACCCCAGAGGAGAGATACCAAGAACCTGCCATTCCCCTGCTTCCAAGATGGAACTGGTACAGAAACATAGCCCAGATGTTTAAACACTAGAATCAGACAAGTCTAGGTTCAAATCCTGACTCTACCACATATCCTTTTTTTTTTTTTTAAGTAGGCTCCACACCCAACATGGGGCTTGAACTCATGACCCCAAGATTCAGAGTTGCATACTCTACTGACTGAGCCAGCCCTTCTACCACATTTTCTTAACAATAACAACTATAATAATAATACCTATCTCTTTGGGGTTCAGGTCAACCACACAATGTATATAAAGCACTTTGTACAGTTTAAGCACTCAATAGAAGGGAGCTACTGTTGTTAATGCATGAGAAAGAGGAGAGGGAAACACAATTATAAGCCAGGTACTGTATTAGTTATCCACATATTTTATCCTCCTAACTCCCAAGCAAAATGGGGAACAATAATCCCATTTTACACATGAGAAAACTAAGCCTCACACGTCCTCAGTTCTTCGGGGCCCTGTTCTCCTCTCCCATGTTTGAGGGCCCACATTCCCCACTTGATTGAGTCCCCTATCCACCAAAGGGCTAAAAATACATATCAACTTCAGTTTTTCCTTTGAGGTAAGGTGGTGACTTTAAAAAGTAACCCAACCATAAGCAATGATCAAGTCTGTCCAAATCATCCAAATTTGTTCTCATAATACATTTATCACATTTTAACAAGAAAAACAAATTGCAGCCCTGCGTACAAAAAGCAGAAGAAGGAAGGGGTGCCTTGGACGAAAACAACTGCAGCACAAGAAACTCAAAGCCTCTTCTCAAACAATTCCAGAGGAGCAGAGAAACTGGCAGGAGGCAGGGTGACAATTAGCTCTTGCTCAGGTCCCCAAATGTGATGTTTCCTTTTACAAATCTGTGCCTTGGCAAATGCTACCCCCCCTGCTTTGGAATGTTACTTCCATTTTCACCAGCTCCTTCCTCAAAATGCAGCTCAAAATTCCCTTTTAGTAGCTTTCTCTGATACTCCATCAGAAAGTTAATTGCTTAAGTGTGATCCAGTAACACACCCTATTCCTATTTCATAACTTTTTGTCTCACTATATTGTACATATACTTTTTGTCTCACTATATTGTAAAATTTTAATCTATTTCTCCTACTATAATTTTCAGAGCCTTAGGTGAGAAGGCTGTAAGACAGCAGGTATAAGTATGTGTGTGTGCGCATGTAAAAAAGGCATAATTTCTTTGGACTTGTTTTTTGTCAGACCCTTTAATGCATTTTAAAATTTCAAGTAGCATTAAAGAAAAGCAGCAGTTTAATTTTTTCACCTAAATAGCACATAAGTTTCAAAACTCTGAGAAACACTGAGATTCACATAGATCCTTAAGGGCAAGGACCACATTTTATTCATTTCTGTATTCCTAGCACCCAGCACAGGGCCGGTTACAAAGTTAGCGTGAATCAATGTTTGCTGAATGAATATGCCCGAAGTCCTGATGTCAACTGCTCTGGAATCTGAACATGTTAGAATAGAACAGACCCTAAGCACCAAGCAAAGCTCTCTCCTTCCTAGCCCCACCCCATTCTGTCCTCCCCAGTCAAAGACAGAGAGATACCACATTGCCTTCGTGCTGGAATACTATTAAAAGGATTAATTTAGGGACCAGCGTTTGGACTGTCACATCCAATCACTACCCACAGATCTACAGCTTCCCAAATCAAGCTCATGCAAAGAGGAATCAATTGCAAGGACACAGAGGGTCTGAACAGGCATACTAATGGCCTCCTGAGGTGCCAGCGGCCAGCTCTGACACTCCCATAAATTATCCGCCTTTTGATTTTACCTGTAGCTGTGGGGCACAAGGCACAATTCTGAACATATCAAAGCAATCTCTTGTAACCCAAGGCTCCCCCAAGAATGTCCCCAAAGGAGGAGGGGCTAAAAACAATGACCCAAAGGGAATCTGCTTCCCTGGTCCAAGCAGTCATCAATTAAAACCCAACAGGACCAAGTGGATAAAGTGGGACCCAAATCACTCCTAGCACATTTGGACAAAGCATGCATCAGTCTGCAGTTCTGCAATGACTACACATCTCTCACTCAAAGGAAGAGAAATCACAGCAATAAACTAACACAATTTCATCTGGAGGCAAATCTGCACTAGCTCTGTCAGTACCTCACAGCATGACCTCAGGCAACACACTTAACCTTCGTGGGCCTCAGTTTCCTCACAGGGGTAAACAGGGACAGCAATACTGACCACCTGACTCATTCCCGGAGTGGTGGTGAAAAGTAGTAAAAAAACATTCAAGAGGACCTTACGAAGATGTAGGGCCACAGGGTGGCAACACTAATAAATGAACCTGACCAACTGGGAGAAATGACTGGTCACACTTTGGTGAATTTCTTTCGGGTAGCTGCTCACTCAATTCACTTCACTGATGGTATTGGGGCTAAGATCTACCCTGAAGAAAGTTCTGATTTTCTGGACTCCTGATGTCTGAAAATTTTCCATTACGAAGAGTGGTGGCCCCTTCCGTTAGTTATAACTTCCTTCTGTCTACTGGCTCTCACCGCCAGTGGTTATGTTCCTATCATATGGCCATAATGACAACTGTGAGGACCCAAAACATACTAAGCCAAAGGCCAACTCACCCAATTGTGGGCTGCTTTTTTAAAAAAAATATTAACTGTGTAAAATATTATTAGTAAACAAAAGTTATTAAAACACTGCGCTAAGAGCTTTACATACATTATCTCATTAAATCCATTAATCAACCCTCTTTAAGTCCCATTATCTGCATTTTACAGATGGGAAAGTAAAGCTCAGAGAGGTAAGTCACTTGCCCGAGGTTACATAAACACCATAATGTAGATTATCAGAAACCTACAGGCTTCCCTCCAGCAAGGCAAGTAGGCTTGCAGGAGGAGGAAGACAATTTATCAGACACTCAACACTTTGGCTCCTGTGCCTGGCATATACCATCATACCTGAACCAGGAGACAGTCCCCAAACCAGAAAAAAGGTCATCAGGTTGCTACAAGCAAGGAAAGTCTGACTGAGTAGGACACGTAACAGAATGAGGACAATTCCCTGGAAAACTTAGGAAAATGGGTCCTCCTTTGTTTGTATAGTTCAGAAAGTTTAAAGTAATTGACATTAAGCTATGAGCCCTAAGACCAACATCCCTACCAGGGCTCCATTTATTCTCTACTTCTTTGATTAGAAGAGTTCCCCAAACCTTTTCATTCATTCTACACCCACTTTCCCTTCCTACATCTTTTCTAGTCTGTAAAATAGGAGCTGGTATTACCAACAAATTCTTTGGTAGACATGCTTTAAGCTCTAGTCGATGGCCAGAATATTAATAAACATAACCAGTATATATATTATGCAAAAATTCAGTTATGCTCAATTTTTAAGGGTCAAAATACTGCCTCAAAGGGTTAAATATAAAATGCTACCCATGCAAATGTCACAGGCTTCTTAATTGGTCTCTGCCTCCAGTATTGTTCCCTTCAGTCCATTCTTAACAATGAAATCAAAACAAACGTTCTAAAACACAAATCTAATTATCAGTCCATAGCTTAAAACCTTTAATGGCTTCTTACTGCTCTTATGATAGTCTGGTCCAGGTGTTGGCAACAATGTTCCACAGGCCAAATCCAGCTGCCACTGGTTTTTATAAAGTTTTACTAGAACATAGCCATGCTCATTCACTTTCATACTATGGCTGCTTTCATGCTGTTAACAGCAGAGCTGAATGGAGTTGAATAGTTGTAACAGAGACCCACAAAGCCTAAATAGTTACTATCTGGTCCTTTACAGAAAAAAGACCTAGTACTATCTGGTCCTTTACAGAAAAAAGACCTAGTCTAACCTAATCCTAAGAGCTTATAAGGCCTTGGCCTCTGCTTACTTTTCCTGCCTCGTTTCTCACCTTATTCTCCAATCCCCTGCCCACTGAGTACACTATGTTTTAACACATTACTTCAGTTTCTCAAACTCAACAAAACTCTGACCTTCACACTTGGTCCCTCATGTCTTCATTTAATTCTAGATGAGGAGCCTACAAGTCTGGGTTGCAGACCCTTCTGAGTACTCCCCAAACATCTAAACTTACCTTATAGCTCTCCCAGAGTGTATCAGAACTGCTTCTTTACCACCTCTCTCTCCCCTGAATTTTTAAGCCCTGTGGCATCAAAGACAGCATCTGTCTTGTTCACCACTACAATTCCAGTCCTAGCAAAGTATCTGGCCCTTTGTTACTAAACAGCCTCTGAGATCCTGGATATTAATCATCAGAGTCTTCCTTTTCAGGCAGCCCTGATCCTTGTAAAATGGAGACAGGCTGGGATTCACCATCCACCCAATGGTGATTCCCAACCCAAATCAAACCAAGATCCCAAAGGCCTTGGTCAAATGCATTATCAAAAGCCAAACCAATGTGTTCCTTCCTATTATCTTAAGCTGTGTATTTCTCAGGATGAAGGACTACTCCAGCTCTATTCAACCTTCCTGAACCTAAAGTAGGTGCTCATGCAATGCCCACAGAGAAATCATGACAGAACTTGAGTAGATACCCCACCTCTAATTCTTGCCATTCAGTAGTCTTTGAGCACATGGTGTCTAATCAGAAAAAGCTACAGAAAAATACAATCTGCACCAACCACCACCCCCTCACCCTCCAAACCCAAATATTCATAAGAAAGAAGTAGAGCCAAACTTGACCATGCAACAACATTCTCACCTCTCCTTACTTCGAAGATGCCAAGACTGCCAGCTGGGGATGCTGAAGGTTCTGTGAGAGCTGGAAAGCCCCAATGCTGTGGATAAATACACATCTCTGCAACAAGTCTATTTCAGTATAAAGGATCAAATCCCCAGGGGACTGCTGCTATTTGAAACAATTTAAGAACCACACCAAACCTCAAACTCCTAAACTCAAACTACTTTGGGATAACAGTTATCTATGTGGAAGAACAATGCCTGAACAAAGCTTTCAGAAGCTACTAGTACTATTTATTTTTGGAATGATGGATTTCATGTTCTCTAGTAGCATACTTTTCTTCCTAAGGAGGTTATCTCCTAGAAACACTAAACATTTATAATATCTGAGCTTGGACTAAGAAAGATGGCCACGAAATGGTGTCTCTCGGGATAACACCAGAAACCTAGTTTAGTCAAGGAGGAGACACTGGTAAGGCTGACAATATTCAGAACTCAGGAACTGAGATCAGGATTGGAGGGGCTGGTTGCCACAAACCCACAGGCCATACTGCAAATGGCCAAATAGACCATTAAACACTTGCAATATACTTCCAGGTATATCTCAAGTCCTAAGAAAGTAAAAGTGTAACCAAACCCTAAGTCAAATCATTAATGGAGACCTATCATATTTACCACCTAATTCAGATTTTCCAAAAGACTATAAGTTGCAGAGGTGCTCTTGTAAGCTAGCAATGCCCTTTGCACAGAGAAACATTTAGGTTTGGAACCAATCTATTCCTGTCTACCACTCTGCGCATTTAAGACTTTATGCTACTCAGAGCCCCTGGGAAAGACCACTCACAGACTTACCCCACCACCAAGAAAACACTTTTCCCAAAATGAAAGGGAATAAAGGCACTTTTATTTGAAAATTTCAAGTTAGAAGGAGAGCTCTCAGCCAAGCTCTAGGACCTAGCTAGCCGATTATTTACAGGATCTTTGGGCAGGAATTGTTAATGAGCTTTTAATTTGGAGTGCTTAAGTTGCCAAAGTGCTCTGAGCTCCAGTGAAGCACCACAGAATCCATAAAGGAAACCTTATCAATCACTTCCCGGCAGCTCCCTTCCCCCACACCCTACCTCTCTGAGGAAAGGCAGCCAAGTGGGTTTCTAACCAAGATCACAGGCACACACATTAGTGGAGTCACACTCCAAGTCCCTGTTTATAAATTGGCTTTTAAATGGTGGGGGATTCAGGTATAATATACTTAAGCTCCAGGAACGAACCCACTAAAACAAGGCATGCCATGTATGATAAAGTCAGAATAAAGCAGAATTTGATGAAGCCAATTTCTGGTAGAAACTCTACAGTCAAAAATCATTCAGCCAATCACAACCTACTATAGTTCAAATAGTGTACAGTCTTCAGCCAATAGGATTCGTGGTTTTTTGCCCTTCAGCTCGGAGAATGATAAAATGTCTGATAAGAGCTAATCCCATAGAGGTGGCCAGAGACCTATAGCAGAGACAACGATGGGCATTATCAGTTTGCAAAATCCAACCCTAAGGGCAGAATTCAAACCCCCAGGAAGGAGGAAGGAGCCACATGCAGCATCTTCCAAGTCAACCAGAAGTTACATTATGCAAAACTCGCAGTCACACCTCAATCCAAGTTCACGCTTTTTTGTTTTAAGAGAACACCTGTTGCTGGAACATTTGCAGGAAAAGCAAACAGAAAGCTAGCTAGGTTAGGCCCGTTATTCACTCCTTCCACCATCACTACTACCACTGTTACAGAGTTACAAAGAGTTAAAATGCTAACCTCGTGTGTGTGCTGGAGAGGGAAGAATGGGGTTATTCTATCTACTACCTCTTTGCTGAGTTTCTACCCACTGTGGCCAAACCTCTCTTCCTCTTACCTAGCATAATACCAAGTAAAAAGTCAGCACGCTTAATCACCCCACCCAGTCGGTCTGGCAAAGCCCTGCCCCGCTCCCTCTTGGCCAGAACGTTACTCAGTAGATCATGCATCCAGGGTGAGCACATGGGCTAGCACCCCAGACTGCACAAACAGCGCGCGGCGACCCTCACCCCGCATGCATTAACCAGGGCCCAATCTGGGGGGCCTCTCCGCGTCACCCACCCCAGGGTGTTGCCCCCAACTCGGGCCCATCCAAGTCCAGGGGAGAGTAAGGGGAGGGGCAGGGGGCCAGGAGACCAGCCCTCCTTCCCAGGGCCGCCCCCGCCCCCCGTCAGCGGCGGGAGAGGCTGTCGCCATGGCAACGCCCCCTCCTCGGGGCCAGCGCGGCAGGCTCCCTCCAGGTGCAGGCCCCGACGTCTCCCTCGGCCTCAGCAGGCGCTCAGGGCAGTTTACGGCGGCGGGCGCGGCCCGCGCCGACTGCGGCGCCGGCCAGGCAGAGGCAAGGCCAGCTCCGCCCGCTCCCCACCGCCCGTTCCCGGCCGCCTCAACAGCGGCAGCCAGCACCACGAGTCCACAACACACCGACTCACCTCCGCGCACTCTGACCCCGGCCGACGCGACTGACGGGCGGGCTCGGTGGCCAACCGCTGAGCCCGCCGCTTGCTTCTCCGACCAATGGGCTTCAGGGGGCGGGGCTTCTTCTCCCCAAACGCTCGCTCTCCCGCCGACATGCGCGTTAAGGTGTGTCAAGATGGTGACTCCCCGCGGCTGGCCTTATGGGACTTGTAGTTTTGAGGTGGCACGTACTCAGAAGAAAGTGAAGGGGGAGCTCCCTTCCGACCCGGGAAAGGAATATTTTAAATAACGAAAACTTTCTAAGGCCTAGAGCGACTCAGGTCCCCCACTTCCGTTTTCCCACCTCCCAATATACTCATGAGGTGAGTATAGGCTCATGACATGACGTGTTATATTTAGATAACTCCTCCTCATGATTTGTTCGTTCAACAAGTCATTATTGTCATCCACTCTCGGAGGTGGGCCTGGGGAGAGCTGAAAGGAGGCAGATTTTAGGCTAAGAAGAAAATTCTTAGATTTCTGAAGGGCCTTCCTACTGAAGAGGGAACTGACTTGTTTGGGTTGGCTCCAGAGGGAACGTCAGAGTTGAAAGGATTCTGGCCTCAACTATAGGGAGCTACAAGGGACAGTCTATTCTGTCATTTGGAGAGAAGTCTGGCTAAAGCCAGAGATGTGTTTCTTCATCTGGTTTATGGCTCTTTGGGAAGTCATGGGCAACACGTTCTGCGGTGGGAAACCCTGGCCTTGGCCAAATCAGTGATGGCTTTGACAGCTTCCCAGTGAGCCAAGAACCATCTTCTGGGCCCAGCTTTGGTCACCAAGGCCTCTGTCTGCCATTTGCATATTTTCATAAAGAAAGTGATGTCATTTCTGGGCCCACCATTTCTGTGAGATCTGACCTTAACAACGGTTCCTGCCTGAGCTGGGAATGCCTGGTAATACCCATATTAGGGAATGTCTTCCTTAATCCCTCATAATGGACTAGGTGATTCTACTCTGCACCTACAGAATTTATTGCATTGTTTTATAATTGTCAATTTCCTTGTTGTCTCTCCCCCAGGGCTGTAAATTCATTTAAGGTAAGCATTATTTCTGTATTGTTCATGGTGTATCAGTAATACCCAGCACAGTTCCACAAATAAAGCAGGAATCTGGTAAATCTTTTGTGGACAAATGAGGAAATAAACATCAGCAGGGACAGATGTCACTTAACCCAAAGTCAGTAAAGTGGAGGCACATCTTCCTATCCTGATTCTTGGGGCTGGAATTGGGTCTTCCTCCTCCCGTTAATGTCATCTAGACATTAATCCCAGTTGATTAGTCAGTCAACATACATTTATAGTGCCTCTGCTAGGTGTCGGCAACTGTTTTTGATGCTAAGATTCATTGGTGAATAAGGCACACAAAACCTGTATCCTTGAGAAGACTATATTGCGGAGGGGAAGGTAGATGCAGAACAGACAATAAACAAATAAGTAAATAGATAAATTAAATTAGACAAATGAGGGGCGCCTGGGTGGCTCAGTCGTTAAGCATCTGCCTTCGGCTCAGGTCATGATCCCCGGGTCCTGGGATTGAGCCCCGCATCAGGCTCCCTGCTCTGCGGGAAGCCTGCTTCTCCCTCTCCCACTCCCCCTGCTTGTGTTCCCTCTCTCGCTGTGTCTCTCTCTGTCAAATAAATAAATAAAATCTTTAAAAAAAAAAATTAGACAAATGAGAGGCTCTGAGACGGTCTCTCCTGTCCCTGGCTTTCATATGTCCTGAGTCTGGCCTAAGAATAGGGCACAACCAACCTTCTTGGCTGTAAGAATGAAGTCAACCTACACTGTCTGGATTGGAGGCTTCCTTTAAGGCCTAGCACCAATATCCTCCATGGAGCCTTCCATGGTGCCCTTAACTTCCCCAGAATGTGCTCTTTCCTCCTCGGTGCTCTAGAGCTCACCCCTATAGCTTCCAGGACCTCACCGGACTGTAATATATATAAGTTCTTTTTGGACAAAGACCAGGCCAAATGTATTCAAATAAGAGAACAGTTTAAGAGATCAGTATATTCTTGGTGCCTTACCCTGCTGCCTAACCCAGCGTTTGGCTCCCTCAAGCCTTTGGCTCTGTGGTGATTCCCTGTTTTCTTATTTCCTAGAAAACAGAGCCTGAGGTAAAGCTTATGTGGTAAAATTTCATTGGGAAATATAATCCCAGGGCAGCAAGAGTTGAGGAGGCAAAGAGAAGTGAGGCAAAGAAGAAAAGGAAGAAAATATAAGGTTGTGTATTATAAAGTTGCCTGGAGCTTCAAACACAACTAGTCGTTGAAGCCATATAGAACCATCACTTTATAAGGGGAAAGGGAGGTTGTATTTCCCCACCACTCCGGTAGCCACAGGGGGTGCCAGATCCCACACCCTAAAGCACAGTGGTTCATCTGAGACTAGAAATGATGAGAGGAGTCATAGCCCCTGGTTTGGTCAAATTAGGCCCATTGCAATCCCACCACAGTGGGCATACTGGAGGCTCTGTCAAAACTCTCCTGAGGAGGCTAAAACAACCAGATGTGTTAGTAAATGAGATGACAGTAATGGCAGCTGGGCTGTCCAAAAAACAAGTGGCCAAGGCCCGGGGTGAGGGTACAGTTGGGGCAAGTGAATCTCTGGAGGCAGATGAACTGAATCCAGTACACAGACACAGATAAACCTCGGGCAGCTTCCTGGCTGATGGATTAAGTGACTGAGCTAAAGTGAACACAGCAGGAATTAGAGAGAGGGCCAAGTTGGTTCTGCTGCCCTCTGAAACCACAAGGGAAAACAGCAAGATGGCCAGCAAAGCTGGGACCTTAACCAGCAGTGGAAGGGCAGAGAATCCAGGACCCAAGGACAGTGCAGGCATGACAGCCCCCAAACGTGGCACAGCTGAGAGAACCCAGACTGGGTCTAAAACCATTTTATCTAAGAACTGGGAAAATTGCTTCTGCCATTCACAGTCCCTGTAAGCTACGTAAGACAGCATCGTGCACTCAGGAGGAGTGTGAGCTCAGAGACAGCCTGTTCAGGTTGGGGTCCTGACTCCATCTGTGACCTTAGGCAAGCCACATACCTTTCTGAGGCTCCATTTCTTCCTCTCTGGAGTGGAGATAATACTAGTATCTACTTATTAGAATTAAATACAAACATGCTTAGTATAGCATCCAGCATAAAGAGTTCAGTAAATATTGGCTGTTATTACTATTATTCTCACCCCTCCCCCATGCCTCTGTCCAACTCCTCTTCCCACCATGACCACCACCACCCCCCCTTGTCACCCCCCACACCCTGCCCCCCACGGTCTCCACTGCAGGAGCAGTGGGAGCCAGACCTGGCCATGCCTTCTCTGCCCTGCTTTCCCCAGGGCTGTTCCCCATGAGCCTGAGCCATTCATCTCCCTGGTGACCTGAATCTGAACTAAGAGATGGATGTGGGGTGGCTGAGGCCAGGGTGGTAATGTGCTCCCTTATCTCCGTGCCCCTCACTGGGGCCTAGTTAATTTTCCCTTTGATTTTAATATAGATTTATTGAAAGTTTCAGTTATCAAAACAAACTGCAGCAGCAAATTGGTGTTCTTTGCAGGCCTACAAGTGCCTATAAAGCTGCCATGCTCGGGAACGAATGGTGCTCTCCGGGAGGTCAGTCATGGCAACAGGAAGTCCCTGGGGACACACACACTGCAGTTTAATATTTTTCTTATTAGCCTTTTTCTTCTTGGCCATCTAAGCCTCCCCTTTAAATCGGAAATCAAATGGAGCCCCCTGCCCAGGGAGGCTCTCTTCCCCAAGCTGTTCCACTCTGCCTTCTCTGTCCTAGCCTCCCATCATCTTGTCCTCAGTCTTCTCCCTGCCTTGCTCACTGTCCAGAAAGTGTGGTGATTCACATGGCCCAGAGGTGTGGCTCACAGCCCCACCCCAACTATGGAAGCTTGGCTTGGGCTGTCCAGCCACTCTAGTCAGAGGCAAAGCATCCCTAGAAAAGTTTGGGGCCTCAGGCCTTTTCTGGATCTGGTGCTCAGAGGGGAGGGAAAAGACAAGTTTTTAAAGTAAAAGAGTTGTTTTCAAAAAGACAGACAATCCTGTCAGGATCTATTGAACTCAACAGAAGCAAAAAGGAAACTGGGCAAGTTTCCCTTCCAGCCCCCGAATTGTCTGGTTTCTTTCCCATTTCCCCATGACCACTCCCAACATGTCCTCTCCTCTCAATCCCAACTTGATTTTTGAGACACCCCCCCCCGCCCCATTCTCTGGTCCCAATCTGCCTCTCTAAGAACCAGCCTGGTTTCTTGCTTCCAGTGGCTCCCATAACTAGAACCACACACTGCCACCTAGAAGTCCTGTCCTTGGAGGGCCTCCATGACCTGATAACCCTGAGGCCACCATCATCTCTTCTTCTGGACCTGAGCTGCCGCTGGGTCACCTGAACATGTCCCATCCCAATTCCCAATGGCCTCCCCTTGCTCTTACAATTTCCTGCCAGCAGTATGGGCTACTGCCCTTCCTCAGAACTTGGACTCTGACTAAGTCGACAAGTGTTGCCGTGTGGCTAGAGCAGTGGCCAGGTGCTACAGTTTGGATCCAGACAATCAAGGAATTGAATCCTGGCTCTGATACTTACTGACTCTGTGACTTGGGGAACCTCTTTGTAGTGTCACCGTACCTCGTGCTTATGTCTGCCCTTGTCTGCCTCTGTATCTCTCACCCACAATATCTGTGGTCCTCAAAGAAGAGGACTGTGTTTTAATTGTCTTTATATTCCAAGTGTGTATATTTGATGAATAAGCAAAGTCACCTTATCTTGGCCTGTTTCCTCCACTATGAAAGGGAGATAATACCGCATAACCAATAAAGCAAAGAAAGCACCTACCACCGTACCCACCCAACGTAAGGTAGGTGCTCAGTGAGTCCAGTTTCCTTCAGCAGGTTTCTCTTGAGGTTGGTCATCAGCCGCCAGTACTTCCACCTTTTGCCTGTTCCCATCTCAGCTTCAAGTTCAGCTCTCT